TCTTAGAGGCTTTTAAATACAGTTAAGATTTTAAAAAGTCAGAATAAAATATTAAAAAGATTTTATAAAATTTGCTAAGTCTGTTTGTGTAACTAAATCATCACAGCTCATATAAAAATGCTAAAATGATTTTACAGCTAGTCCTCAACTTATGACCATTCATTTAAAGACCATTTAAAGTCTAGTTAGAGTGGCCTCAGAAAGGGTACTTGACAGCACTTCCAGTCATCATAAAGTCTCTCTCTCTCACACACACATACACACACAATCTGTGATCACATGATTGCGATCTTGGTGCCTGACAACCTGTTTGCACTTATCAAAGTTATCAAATACCTCACAATAATGTGATGGCTACTTACAATCTTCTCTGCTGGCCTTCCAAGAAAAATCAATGTGGAAGCCAGTGGGGAATGATGCAAGCCTAAATTTTGGGGGCTGACTGACTAAGTTGCCTACTGAGGGAAACTGAACTTTTCTGGCAGGACGGAAAAACAGATCCCAAAAGTCCAAGCTCCATTCTTGCAACTGCCCAAGCAGTTCCTTCTACTCATGAGGGAAACTGAACTGGGCCAGCTGCTTTTAGTCCATGTGTTTAACAATCTGGGAATTGCTTAATGACCATAACCTGGAGATTATGGTTGTTGAGGAAAACAATCACGTGGGTATCCTGCTTAACAACTTATTTGTTCAACAACAAAGATTCCAGTCCTAATTGTGGTCATAAGTTGAGGACTACTTGGAAACAAGATAAAATCTGAAGGTAACATAACAACATCCATACTTATGATCCTTCTCGTTCTCCATGCACACATCCACTATCTGCAGGATATTATGATTGGCGCTCAGCTCTAAGTTCCCCACATTGATCTGGACATAATCATGCAGGAAGTCCTCAGCCAGCTGGCGCACCTCCTTTGGCCAAGTGGCACTCCACATGAGTGTTTGTCTGTCAGGCTGAAAAAAGACATGTGTTATCTCAACAGTAATCTTTAAATGAGAAGTCAAGAAGAAACCTAAACTATATTAAGAAATACTGACCCGTATTTGATCAACAATTTTACGAATCTGAGGTTCAAAACCCATATCCAGCATTCTATCAGCTTCATCCAATACAAGATATGTACAGCGGCGAAGATTAGTTTTCCCTGCTTCCAGGAAATCAATCAGACGGCCAGGTGTAGCAATACAAATTTCAACACCTTCCAAAGAACAGAGCAGGATAGAGAAAGAGAGTTCAAAAAGTCAGACAATAATCTAACTGTCATTTACAGGACTGTAGAAATACATGGACCATTTCATGAACATAGTGTGCAACTTCAGTTTATACTACTAAATAGACTGTAACAATTCTTATATTTTGACAAAAACAATTTATTTAATGAAAATAAAATACCATTTTCCATATCCCGGCTCCTTTTTTAAGAAGTTTTTTTTAAAAAAAGAAACTCACTAGAGTTGGACATGCGTGTGTTTTATGCATACATATGCGCAGATATTCCCAAGCAAGCACATTAAACTCCAGATAATTGATTAATCACCCCAAGCTTGTTTTATTCCATCTTATTCCAATACAAAATTGCCATTAGTCATATTAATAGTGACTTTAATAAAGGAAGATCATTACAATTACCCTATAATATATAAGTCTATCATAGTTACCTCTTTCTAAGTCTCTAATCTGGGGGCCTTTGGGTGCTCCTCCATATATACAGGTACTCTTCAGTCTTGAACATTTACCATAATCATCAGCTACTTGTTGGACTTGTTGGGCCAGTTCTCGGGTAGGAGCTAAAACTAAACACTGGGAAGAAACCATCCATAACACTGAGTGATATACTTAATTTTTTGTGCTTAAACTTCAGAACCAGAGCTTACAAAACTGCCATCTCCAATTAGATAAATAAGACCCATAGGCAGCCTGTAAACATACACATCAATAACAACAACTCTACTCAGAACTGCCTATAACATCTATATTCAGTCATTACCTTCACAGCTCTTGGGTCCTTGGTTAGGACTTGAACTGTTAAGCTTTTACCAGCCCCAGATCGTGAACCGAAGATTAAATATTTAACAATAATAACAACAACTGTGATTCTACAAACAACCACCCTACTTGGAACAGCTTATATCCTCCGACGCAACCTTAACAGTTCCTAGGTCCTTGGTTAGGACTCGAGCTGCTGAGCTACCAACCAGCCCCAAAGGCTGTGAATCTCACTAAAGATTAATAAATAAATAATAATAATAATAATAATAATAATAATAATAATAATAATAATAA